GTCGCGCTCACGCTTAGGACTCCCTCACAGATTACATAGGAATCGGGATATCGCTGCCCTTCGTGGCCCCGTTGCAGCCCTTCGTGGTCCCCTCGCTTTGTTTCGTGGCCCCGTTGCAGCCCTTCGTGGCCCACTCGCTGCCCTTCGTGGCCCCGTTGCAGCCCCTCGTGGCCTCCGCGCTGCCCTTCGTGGCCCCGTTGCAGTCCTTCGTGGCCCCCTCGCATTGTTTTGTAGCCCCGTTGCAGCCCTTCGTGGCCCCCTTGCTGCCCTTAGTGGCCCCGTCGCAGCCCTTCGTGGCCCCGTTGCAGCCCTTCGTGGCCCCCTCGCTGCATCCCTTCGTGGCCCCCATCGCTGCCCTTCGTGGCCCCATATATGTATGCCCTTCGTGGCCCCCGCTCGTTCGCGCCCGTGGTGGCCACATATGCATCTGTCCTACGCGGCCCAGTTGCTACCCTCAGTGGCTCCATCGTAGCCCCCCGCATTATCTGCCCTTCTTGGCCCCCGCTCGTTCGCGCTCTTCGTGGCCCCATACGCATTCCCTTCGTGTCCCCGCTGTTGCCCTTCGTGGCATACTTCGTGTCCCTGTGGTTCTGCAGTCGATCTCTTTCGCTCTCGCTTTCGCTCGTCGTCGCCGTCGTCGTCGTCGTCACCGTCGTCGTCGTCGACGTCGTCGTCGTCGACGTCGTCGTCGTCGTCGTGGTCGGTCCCCTGTCTGTTTCTCTTGGGGTCGGGTCGACGGTCCGTGGCCGCCCCGCCGATCAGCGCTGCCGCTGGCCAGGCCGACGGTCCGCGGCCGCCCCGCCGCTTGCCGGGGCCCAGCCTGCAGGGAAGAAAGGTATACTCCCCAAAAAGGGTTCGGTCGAAGACGAAGAGGGCGGGTATCGAGGGTTTGGGAAATAGGCGTTATTGGACACTCGAGCAAATAAGGGCGAACAGTCTTAAAATGATTGTTGCTGTTGTTGTTGGTGTTGTTGTTGTTGATGTTGATGTTGTTGATGTTGCTGTTGTTGTTATTTGTTGTCGTCGTCCCTCCCGCGACCCGGCCCGCGACCCACCCGCGACCCACCCCGCGACCCACCCGCGACCCACCCCACGACCCGCTCGCGACCCACCCGCGACCCACCCGCGACCTGGCCCGCGACCCACCGTCGACCCACCCGCGACCCACCTGCGACCCAACCCGCGACCCTCCTACATTGTTTTAACAAAAAATCGGCGCCTGCGGCGGCCTCGTTGTATAGCTTGAAAATGTTGCGCCTGCGGCGGGCTTTTTCCAGAGCCTCGCAGACTGCAGACGCCCCCGCCGCCCCTTCACTCTTATCCACAACTGCGGGGTGCTACGTACCATATCGGGCCACCATCGGCGATCCTGAGCCTGCGGCGCCGGAAAATCCAGGTGTCGAGAATCAGCATCGCGACGGCCTGCTTTTTGCTATGCGATGCCTTTCCCAGCCCCACGGGCCGTCCGAGAACGGCCCGGGTTACCTCGGGCTGCTTCTGGCGGCCGGCCTGTCTGGACTGCCTCAGGAAGACAGTGGGGTCGTCTCTCATGGTTTTCGCTGTGCTGTGGTGCAGGAACAAAAGAGGTGGAACTAACAAGCTCGGCTCGGGACGACAAGCTGCTTTTCCCCGGGGGTAGGGTCATCCCTGGGGGGACCTTTACTGGATTTCGTGCCCCCAAGAAAGGACGGGAGGGAGGGACTCAAAACCGATCCTTGCAACATCCCCACCACCCCTGGCGTAGCACGTGCGACGCCAGGGGGGGGCGGCCCGTCCACCCATCTCCCCACCATAGGGGGGGGTGCGAAGTCCCTGTGGACGGGGCGGGGTGGGCATCGAAGGGCACCGTAGGCCTTTCACGACCCAGTGGTGGGCACCACATGCCTGCCGCCACCACTTGGAGGTACACCATATGCCCTCCACCATTCGCGATTTCATACCAACGCCCATTGAACTTTGTCATCTGATACTTCAACCTCTCTCCAGACTTCGGGGGGAGGGAGGGGGCCTGGACCCGCCGCCCGAGACGCCCGGGCGGGGTAAGTCGACGAGGGGGAGGTAAGTCGACGAGGGGGAGGGGGGCAAGTCGACGAGGGACGAAATGCTCTCCAGACGCACCTGGAGGCAGCTCGAGAACGCGCCCCTGGGGGCTGCTTACAGGCCCTCGGTCTCTGCCCCCTGCACACCGGGGGCGGGCGGCGCCTCGCGGCAATCCAAGGCCGCCTGCACGCAAGAGTGGCCCCAGGCAAGAGTGACTCGTGGTGCGCGGCTTGGCGATTGTTGTATGGGAGATGCGACAGTAGCGGCCTGCGCACGTGGGTTTGCCCCACCGCCCTCGCCTCCACCGCCCCCCGAAAGCTGCGCACCAAAGGTTTCTCTGCCGACGGGTCTCCCTGGCGAGGGGGCAATGCCCAATGTGCCAGGGTCGGAGCCAAACGCACGGGGGCAACCAGGGCAATGACCCTGGTGGCCGGGCCCGACTCAGATATCCGACGTCTTGATGTTTTCAATGCTGGGTCCCTGGAAGGAAGTCCCGACCCTTTCCCAACGAGGAGTTAGGAGTAGGAAAGAGAAGGGAGGAGCGAGGATGATGATGATGATGATGATGATGATGATGATGATGATGATGATGAGGAGGAGGAGGAGGAGGAGGAGGAGGAGGAGGAGGAAGAGGAATAGATGAGTAGGAGCAGGAGGAGGAGAGGGAGGATGAGGAAGAGGAGAAGGAGGAGGAGAAAGAGGAGGAGAAGGAGGAGGAGGAGGAGGAGAAGGAGGAGGAGGAGGAGGAGGAGGATAAGGAGGAGGACGGAAGGGGGGGGAGCGAGCGATCCCAAAGCGATGTCCCAGTGACTGCACCAAGAATGCGAAGAAGCACACGACATTAAAGGAAATGGTCAAGGCCGTATGGTGTTGAAACCCTCCTGCTTCGCCACCTCCTGCTCCTCCGCGACTGCATCCCAGACGTGCGACGTCTTGAGTTGTTCTATACGCGGTCCCCAGAATGTCCGACCCTTTCCCCGAGTCTGATTTGTCATTCGGAGTCGATTTTTTGACGGTCCCGAGGCCCGGCGAGGGCCCCCAAAGGCCGAAAACGACAAAACACCTCGCGCCCTGGCTTCTGCTATGACCCGAGCATGTCTGGGCCCTACTCCTCTGCGACTGCATTGGAGGCAGTTGTTCCCTAGGTGTTGGCGAGTCTGCTTGCATGGAGGGGGGCGGTGCGGGGGCAATCTGTATGCCACGCACGTCGGGATTCACTCGAAAGCCTTTTCGGACCAGCGCTGGTTGAACTGGCGGCGGAGGGGGAATGCCGTGCAAGTAAAATTGCCAGAACCCATTTTAAAAGGAAATAATGATAATGATAATACGAATGGTAATGGTAATGGTAATGATAATGATAATGAGACTAATAATTCGACAATCGAAAACGAGACTCTTTTTGCTATATATATATATATATAAAAAAAAAAAAAAAAAAAAAAAAAAAAAAAAAAAAAAAAAAAAAAAAAAAAAAAAAAAAAAAAAAAAAAAAAAACGATCCCGCCGAGGCTTTGGACGCCCGAAATGGGTACGGAGAAAATGGGCACGATGCCCAACAACATATGTTGTCCAACACCGACAACGGCCACTGTTGGGCAGGCGGCCTTCCGTCTCAAAATGCGAAGCGCTCGTGGCGGCACCGACAGCGAGCCCTGTTCAAAACTGGCTGCCAATTGTCGTGCTCGTTCTCTCCATACTCCAGATTTCGTAATAGAGGGAGGGGGGGCTCATTTCGGGGGGGGGGTCTCCTCCAGGCTATCTTGGAGGGCCTGGGGGGGTCTGGGGACGATGTTTTGGAGGGTTCTCCCACGGGGGGGGGGGGTCTAAAACTTGTCGTCTGGGAGGGTTGAGACCCCCTCCCTTTTATTACGAAACCTGGAGTGCCCGTTCCGATCCTCTGAGCCAATGCGCGCTGGTCTGGGCCCGTGATGCACTTGTGGGACATACGTCGGGCCTCCGGCGGCCTCTCGGGGCGCTCCCGGCACCCCGGGAAGGCCCCTTGGCGAGGCGCTCTGCTGGAGAGCACCCCGAGCCTGGGAAACCCTCCACCTCCTCCTCCTCCTCCTCCTCCTCCTCCTCCTCCTGCTCCTCCTCCTGCTCCTCCTCCTCCTCCAAGAACCATCGAACAAGTCCGCGAACCGATGGGAACCGACGCAACAGTTCGTACCCATGCCGAGCCCCTGTCGGTCTTCGTCCCTGTTCCTAAAGGCTTGATGATTAGCCATATCCACTGCGCCTCGGCTTTGTCGCCCGTGTCCAAGATCCCATGACGCAGTAGATGTAAATCCCACCAGCCCTTTGGGCGTGAGTGTTTTAGCGAGCTCTCTCTGTTCTCAACCCCCCTTCTTCCCCTTCGGGCAGGGGTTTACCCCTCCCCCTACCCCCTCCCCCTGGACCTGGAGAGGGGGTTTCGCGGGTCGTTGGAGGGGTCTTTTTCGACTCCTGGGAGGGCTAAAATTTGACACCCCTCACGAGGATTCTGGCCCCGACGGGGGGGAGGAGAAAAGTGTTCCCCTCTTCTTTGAAGCCAAAATCATTGATTTTACTACGGTTTTGGCCCCATTTTGGCCTTCTGAGGGGGCAGCGCTAATTACAGCTCCCCTCTTCTTTCAAGCCAAAATCATTGATTTTACTAAGGTTTTGGCCCCATTTTGGCCTTCTGAGGGGGCAGCGCTAATTAAAGCTCCCCTCTTCTTTTTTTTTGGGGGGGGGGGGGGGCGGAACAATGGAATCACATTCCACGCGGCAGAGGAGCTGTTGCGGGCGCGGTGGACGAATTCCACTCGGCATGCAACGCGAAAAAGTATGTTCGTTGTCGATGCGGTGGACGTGTTCCACTCGGCGTGCAACCATGAAACATACAGACGGCCGCAGGTCTAAATAGGATTCCGCATGATCCCACTTCAGCTGCCTACATACCCTTTGTTTCATTCCTCGTTACTTTCTTCCTCCTCCATATCCCCGTCCTCCACTCCCCAGCCAACACTGCAAGTCAGAGCGACGAGATCGACCCGCCACCAGTCGCGCGGCTCCCCATGCTGTCTGACCTCTGGGCGCTGTCAGCCTCAGGCGGAGACGCGCCAGCGCCCGCGGGGGCCTCGAGACGCGGCCCGCTCGTTACCACCGACTGTGCCGCCTGGTCGATGAGTCGCGGTGGGGTCAGGGTGTTGCCGGCGTCCTCCGGGGCCGCGGCCGCGGCCGCGCCAGCGCCATCCGACTCGAGGACGCCTGCTGACAAAGGGGCGTGAGAGCGCACGGGCGCGCTGACGCGCCTGGTCCAACGCTGATCCTGGATCCACTTGGAGTTCTCGAGAACCAGCTTTACCACGCACGAAGGTCGGTCCAGGCCCTCAGTCCAGTCCTCGCCGCCTGGCGGATCCACGGACACTCTCAGCGAATTCTCGATGGCGAAACGCATACGATGATGCTGCTTACTGAAACGGAAACTCACCCCGTCCACAGCGGGCAGCTCGAGTCTAGTGGACTCCTCGCAGGCATGACGAACCCACCACTTCAAGTCATTTCGCTGATCTGGCCGAGTACATGGCAGAAGAGTTCTCTGGGTGGCACAGATGTGCGCCCAAGAGCTGCCAACTAACATCTCGAAGGCAGTGGTGCAACGCAACATGGTTAACCCTGGTGACATACCGTCGACCCAAACAGCAACCTCGGAAATAGAAGACGATACGCCAGACTCCCCTTCAGAATTGGTGCCAGAATCACCGTGTTCAGTCTCGTGCGACGCACCCCAGCTCTGAACATCCATGTTCATTTCAGCACTAGGCATTGTCGGCACTCTCGGGTGCGTCCTTGGTGGAGGCAGGTCCGCGAATTCTCGAAAGCCGACAAGGTACAACTCCTTTTCATCACCACTACGGAAGCGCACGCAGAAAACTTCCACCGACACAGAGATGCCACAAGTGTCCCGCAATTTGACGTGAAAAGCCGTGCAGAAATCATCATACGCAGTACTGGAGGTTACGTGTTCGGCAAATTGTTCGAGATCGGCCTCTGCGGCAAAAAAAGACGATATACTCACTCCCGCCAAAGATCGAGGCTCGCTATGCATTAACAAAGCCGCGAACTTTTTGGAAGGCCGCACGAGCATCAGCTTGGCATCGAGCTCGACCACGGCGTCACAAACGCCTGCTCAGATCGACTTTGCGGCGCGCAACTCGCTCCGACATGCTTGAGCCTCTAAGAGGGCATTGACCACCATTGAGAACACGACGTGCAACATAACCAAAGATACAACGACCCCAATCCAAGCAAGAAACACGTCATTTGTGGTTTTAGGGTCGTGGCACGGCATGCCATTGGATTTGCCAGCAAGCGCTGTGGACGCAGCGGACAGATAGCAGAGTGTCGTCCAAAACAAATTCGCTGGAAGGCTGAAGTCAATCATGCAGTACATTACGCAATCATACACTATTTGAAACTTGAGGGGGCTGATCGATTCCGCGAATTGCAGCAGCGGTGACAGAGAAATCGCATGTGAGAGTGACAGAAGGGAATACCATACATGAAGTCGTGATGGGGTCAACAAGCTAGGAAACACATTGACTGACACAACTATCACCCCAGAGAAAGCATAATGCAAGCGCCTGGGAACGGTATGCGGGCGGTCATCTGCGGGGAAGAAAAGATCGGGAAAACTACCCCGACGGCTGCGACACAAAAGAACTGGTAGCTTCTCCGTGACATGGCAAGCCTGATGGATTGCTTGCGCTTGTGAACAGATTGTTGAGTGCCGTCTTTCCCAAGAATGACCGTCCTGACGACTGTAGAGAACGCGAGCAATCGAACATAGTAATCGTGAAACCAAGACCTTGAGGCGCCCTCGGTCCACAACTGCCAAGCCAGGCGCCCCAGCAGCATAGCGGCGCAGGCCGCAATGGAAATGAGCTCCACTTGGTGGACAATATCAGATAAGTCTGGCACGATCATTGGAGAGATCGGCTTGGCACCTAGCTCGTGCGGAAAGTCAGTCTGTCTAATACTCCATGTCAAAGGGCACTAATCCCAAAACTTGAGCCAAAATGGCTACGGATAAAAGCTCCCCTCTTCTTTGATCGATTTCCTCCAAGATGGCCCCAAGAAGCGCCCGGGAGGCACCAAGAGGCCCCAAGATGGCCCCAAGAGGCCCCCAGGAGGCCCCCAAGAGGATCCCAAACGGCCCAAAGAGGCCCCCCCGAGGAACCCAAGACGCCGAAAAGCCCATCAGGACGACCCTCTACTCGCCTGGGCGTCGTTTCTGGACGGGCAGGAGGAGGGGCTCGAACGACTCACACCAGGACGAGGGGCCCGAACAACCGAACAACTCACACCACGAGAAGCCCGAACGACTCACACCAGGACGAAGAGCCCGAACGACTCACACCACGAAGAGCCCGAACGACTCACACCAGGAAGAAGGGCCCGAACGACTCACACCAGGACGAGAAACCCCGAACGACTCAAACCACGAGGAGCGCTTTCTCTCCCTCCTCCTCCGCCTCGTCCTTCTCCCGCTCCCACCACAAGGAGGATGTACAAGGAGGCGGGAGGAAGGAGGAACAGGGGAGATATGCGGGGGCAGGCGGAAACACGCCTGAAAAACACGACTGTCGGCATGCTTCGCTAGAGTTGCTGCTTTGAGATGGGCTGGTGGGGATACGCGAAGCGTGAAGAATTCGAATCTTGCCCACCTCATTATTTCCGCATTTGGTTCACAATCGAGAAGAATTGCCGTCGGTCTTCGCATCTTCGGGGGAGCGTCCAAAAGGGGGGTGTCCAAGAGGGAGGTTCGCAAAATGGCCGGAGGAATAGGCGCGGATGATGGGACGACCAAGGGACGCACTTAAAGAAAAAAGCGGGGCCAGGATATCCATGGAGATATAGTGGCCTCCACTTCGATAGCCCCTCCTGGTCATCACCCCCCTCTTGGACGCTCCCGTTCTCCGTTATCCTTTCCGTACCCATGTGTCGCCGACACCACGGAAGACACACGGCAAACCGCCGGCACCGTGGCAAACCCCTTGCAAGCCCACCGCGTCCGAGGCGGTGTTTGCCCTGGCGGCCGCGGCGCCCTCCCCGAGACGCAAGGCCGCGCGTCGAAACAAACAGCGCGGCGACACGTCGATCGCGCCGAGAGCCAGCCACGGCGAGCCGCTGAGGCCCGCGCGCCCGGCGCCGCCCCTCCCCGCCGCCGGGCCGCCGCCCGGCGGCGCCAGCCGCGGGCTCGCGGCCGCAGAGCTGACGCCCCGCGGCGACAGCCGCGGACTCGGGCCCGCCCGCGGCCCGACGGCGCCCTCCTCGGGGCGAGCTGCACAAGAAGCCCACGACGCCTCCTCCCCGCCTCTTCTGTGGGTCGGCGGAATGGCGCAAACCTCTGGTTTCACAGACAAGACTGTGGCCGGGAGCCTTGCGACGGGGGCCACTGCAAACGAGGGTCAGCCAGAGCGCCGGTTCTTGCAGGATCCTGCAGGGCCAGGGTTGCAGTGACCCGGGTCGGGTTCGGCTTGCAAGATCCTGCAGGATCCTGCAAAGCCTGACTGACCCAGCCTGGGGCTGACCCGGGTCAGCAGGTCCCCGAGACAGGAGCCTCACCTCTCTCCCCAGCCCTGCAGCTTGCGCAAACCCCCTGTGCCTTCTCGCCCTCGGACTCTCGGGCATTGCGCCCAGACCGTCCCTCCGAGCAGGCATGGCGGGCGGTTGGCCTCCACAGGCCCACCAAAAGGTCCCAGCTGGCCTCCAACGGGCCCGCAAAGCAGTCCGCGGCGGGCCAATCGACAACTCAATCCAGGGGCGCGGAGCGCCCCAAATTCGCCGCCCGAGACGGCGCCAGGGTGTTGAGACCGCTGTGGACTACTCGGGGGACCTGTTGCTGAGGCCGGCTGGGACTACTCGGGGCGCCTGTTGAGGCAAACTGGGACTACCAGGGACCACCACCTCTCCCTCGTTCGCGCCCCAGTGATCCTGAGGTCCGCCTTATGCGCCATGTTTCGAGCCCGATCGGCCTAAGCGTGTTTTTGAACGTACTCACTCGCATGGCATTCCCACCCCCCTCCGCCGCCATTTCAAACAGCGCTGGGCCGAAAGGTCTGCGAGTGAGTGCCGACTTGCGTGAAGTCCAGATTTCCTTTCGTGCCTCGTCAACCCCCCTTTCCATGTAAGTAAACTTGCCAGAATCCAGCGCAACTGCCTCACTGCGAGGGCCCAACACGCCCAGCTCGAGAGAGAAGGACATCCGACAGCGAGTCCGCAGGTTCCTGGGCGGGGTGAGCTATCAGTTGGCGGCGCGCACAAGGAGGTGGAGGGAGGGGGGAGGGCTTCTTAGAAGGAGGCTGCTTCTTAGAAGGGGTGCTTCTAAGAAGCCCTCCCCCCTCCCCCCACCCCCCTCTGCGCGTGGGTCGATGCGTCCCCCCTAAGCCTGTCCACCAAGCGCCTTGCCCCTGCCGAGATCCACCACCACCCCGTGCCCCTCACCCCCTTCCCCGACTCCGAATGGTTCTTGTGCCAAAGCTCGAGCCTCCGACGGCCGCTCGAGACGACTTGGGCACCCCTGGAAAGCTCTCGACGAGGCGCAGCTGCTGGAGAGCATCCCGAGGCCAGAAGACCTCTCAGGGCCACCGAACGCTTCTCCCCCCCTCAACGCTTCCCCTCCTGTGCGCGCCGCTGAGGCCCCGGGGTGCCTCTGTGTGGCTCTGGCTCACCTGCGTGGGCGTGGCCCCACGGGGCGCCCGCGCGCTCGCTGCCGAACTCCTCTGCGGGGGTGGCCGAGCGGGCGGCAAACACCGATCTCTGCACGCCCAGGATGGGGACGGAGCGTATGGGTACGATGCGGTAGAGGGAAACAATTAGTGAACACCCCCCCTGCCCCCCAAACTCAAGGTTGGCACGCGCGGGGAAGACTGCGGTCGAGGTGCAACTCATCAGACCCACCGCCAACTTTGAACATTGGGGGGAGGGGGAGGCGTTCACAGATGAATGTGGCATGAGTGTTCGCTATTTTTTCCGAGGCCTGTGCCAAGCAGCAGCAGCAGCAATTTGCTGCTCATCTTGAACAGGAGCTGCTGACCGGGGGCCGCCCTGGCAACGCAGCTAGCCACTTCGGCAGCAACTCCTGTCCATAGGGACAAACAGGTGCTGCCAAATGCGGTCGAAATTGCAAGACGTGACATCCGATGGGCCCTGATGTGAACGCATGGCTGTCGAAATGCGAAGATGTGGTGCCCGAGGGGCCCCGGTGGACAGCAGACCCGGCTCCAGATGAACAGGCGCGGTCGCCCGCGGCCAGCAGGGCCCTCCTCGGCCGCCTGCTGCGCCACCAGCTTCGCCGCATCCTCGAGCCGCACCGTGCGCCGCTTCGAGGGGGAGTGTGAGCCGCCCTTGCCTTGCACGCGCGGGGCGCCCGCTGCCTCCGGGGGCCTCTCGGACAGGTCCTGCGGAGGCCTCCGCGCGAGCTCCCTGGAGGGCCTCGGGCCCGGAAATCCTGGCGTCTCCACCCCGAGATCCGACGCCTCAGCAAACATCGGGACATCACGCAACATCACGACGGGAGTCCTGGACTCCATGTTCCTGCGTCGTGTTTCAAACTGGATTGATCTGTGAGGGCCCCGTGGCCCTAATCTAAGCGAAAGCGCCCGGATCGAAAAAATTGAAACACCAGGATCGCAAGGCTTTCTGGGCCAGGGGGGCCGGGCGTTCTTGCCCTGTTTCGGGCCCCGAAGCCCTCGCAGATCGATCTGGCTCGAAACATGGCACGGAGAGATGGAGTGGGGGCCCCTGGGCCGGAGGCCTCCGGAGCATAAGAGGGACCTTCGTGAGCCTGCGGGGATTTCTGGAGACGAAAAACAGAAAAGCGGGAGGTGGAGGAGAAGGGGCAGGGGGAGGAGGAGGAGGAGGAGGAGGAAGAGGGAGGAGAGGGAGGGGGAGGAGGCCGACGACCGAGAAAGGTTCGACCTCACTCGACATGCAGGGGAGGGCGACCAGGCTGGGAAGGGCTCCGAGTCGTCCCATGCCTCCTTCACCGCGCGTCCCTGCTCCCTCGCCCGACCCAGAAGCCTCCGCTTCGGACTCGCGGAGGCCGAGCATCGCGAGGCCGCGCTCCCTGCCCACCGTGGGTCCCTGGCTCTGCGGGGCGGACGGGGCGCGGCGCGCGGGAGGCCCGGGAGGTCCTGGCCCGGGGCCCGGGCGGAGAACGAGGGGCCCCACTTGGCCTTCACTTCGGGGGAGGGGGCCCCCTACGTAGGCCATCGTGCGTCCGTTGGGCTCCGATGGGCGGGGCACCGTCCCCTTGCGAACGCACATCAAGAGAAAGCCGCGGACCCCAGAGGACCCGGGCCCGCAGGCCCTGCGAAGACCACGGCGTTTCGTCTCAGAATGCGCCGTGGCCTCGCAGCTCACTCGACACGGCAGGCGACAGGTGACAGCATCAGCCTCGAACGCATCTCCTTGCTCCAAGGAGTGGCCCAGCTGCTGCCGCACTCCGAGGGAAGGCTGGGCAGGAGCCGAGGAAGAAGCGGGCGGCTCCGCAACTGGGCATCGCAAGGACGAGTCCTTGGTCTCCTCAACCTCCGCCTTCCTTCCTGCAGGAACGGGCACGTGGAGGCCTGGGACCGCGTCCAGAAGCACATCGCCGAGCCACTCGAGGCCTACGCGGCCGCTCAAAGCAAGGTCGCGTCATTCCACCTGCTGAGCCGCGCGCAACCTGCCGAGTCTGGTGGCCAGCTCCCAGCATCCCCTGATCCTGAAACTGTTGCCCGAGGCCATGACGAGGGGTAGCGCCCCTTTCTTGGCGAGGCGGTCCGCCACCGAATTCCCGAACTTCTGAAGGTGGGTTATCTTGCCCTCTATGACATTCACCGCGGACGCGTGGGCTATGATCTCGATTACCGCTGCGCCCTCGAGATGGTTCCCGAGCTCGGCCCACATGTGGTCCCTGGCCAATCTGGTGCTCGCAGCTTCCGACGGGGGTCCGAAGACAACCCGCAGTGCCAGCGCAGTCGAGGCTTAATCAAAACAATCCGCCGACCCTGTTGGCGTGTGTGAGGGTTTTTTCCGTTCGAATCGTCGTCGCCGTCATTCGTTCATCGTCGCCTCTGTCGTCCTCTTTCCCTACGCTTTCCTTTCCTTGTGCTTGTCGCCGCTCCTCTCTCCTTTCCTGGGTTCTCCTCCTCTAGCGCGTCAGCCAAAGCGAAATTGAGCAACGTCCTCATACACTCGCAGGGAAACCCCTTCCCTTTGATCCTTCCCCCACCGGGAGGGGGGGGGGTCCCGGGTCAGATACGCTTCCCCTCTGGAAGCTCCCAGGCCGCAGGAAAGCCCCAAGACGGGCCAAGAGTGCCCCAAAAGCTCTCACAGACAGTCCACGAAGGCCCCGAATGGCAGAACGATCTGTCCCCACGAGCGGCCCACAACGGCTCAAGAGAGTCCCAAGACGCCCCTAAAAGGGCCCCAAAGGCCCCCAAGACGGGTCTACACGGTGGCAAGACGACGGACCAAAACGAACATTCCGAGCCCTCCGCCCCGAGTGCTCCCAGGAGAAACCGAGAGGCCCCCAAAAGGCCCCCCAAAAGCCTCGAAAAGACCCCAAGATGCTCCCGAGAGGCCCCCGGGAAACCCCAACAGGCCCCCAGGAGGCTCCTCAGAGACCTCTACACTGTCCCCCGAAGCCCCCGAAAGCGTTTCGACCAGACCCCAAGAAGCATCCTTGAGGACTCTGATGCACGTCAGCGTCGTCGTCGTCGTCGTCGTCGGCAGCCCGACCGACGGCATATACACAATAAAGTGGTTGCCGCGCTGCCTTTTGTCTTGGTGGCGACACACCATCCCCATCCTGGTTGATGGCGAGATCCATGGTGACTCCTCCACCATCCAGCTCGTCATCATCCCTCCTCCTCCTCCTCCTCCTCCACCTCCTCCTCCTAATTATCTTCCGTCATCCCTCCTTTTCCCCTTCCCCTTCACCTCCTCCGTCCCCCTGTCATCCTCCTTCCCACTCCTTAGCATTTTACAGATTTTCATCGTCGTTGTTTTCGTCGTCGTCCCCCGTCAGGGTCGGCGGCACCAGCCGTAAGGCCTTCGTTATAGATTTCTGGTCACGGGCCTGCTGTTCAGGTCCTTCCGTGCGTGGAACATCGCCCCTGCTGGCAGTCAGGATCCTTCCTGTGTTGCCCAGGACGACCCCTGACCACCCCGTTGTTCGAAGTCCTGGGGAGGTTCCTTCAAACCCCGAGCCGTCGGTGAAAATGTGGGCCTCCTCGGGAACGAACAAGGGCCCGTCATGGGGCCGCTGGAAGTACCGAGAGCACGTGTCCGGCAGGTTCTGTGAGGGCATTTGATCCAGGACGCGGGGCTCGAGGGCGCGCACCTATTATAGACTGTGCCAGCACAGGTCGAAAGATGGCCAATTCGCTGAGCAGCCCTGGCAACCGACGGAACCAGGATCCCGGGAAAGCCGGCTTTCCTCCGTCGCCTCTGGGCTGTGCTCAACAACGCGGTGGCGCGACCAATCAGCGACCGCCACGCACGCCGAGAGGGCAGCCTTGTGAGATCGGGTCCAAATCGCCGACCCTCTATCCGAAAGCAGCTGGCAGATCGGGCCCCAAAAGACAAGCCAACCCCACTCTCGAAAATAAATTGCTTGGCCTGTTCTTCTCTCTTGGCCGCCCTGCGCACAGCCCCTTGCGCAAGGGGCGTGAAAGGCTTCGGCAAAAAAACGCTTGGCAGGCCACGCCCCCCCCAGGTCATCTCGGATCGAGAGACAGCCCAGGCCAAATGTCTAGAGGATCCTGGCCAGCATCAGGAAGAGGGCATCGGCGGTCTGTCGCACCTGGCCCCACTGGGCCTGCCTGGCCTGGGCTTCGAACGCATTCTGGACACAAGACCGATGGGCAGGCCCAGACATAAAGTTGGCCCAAAACGCGCCGCCAAATTCTATACCCGCCAAGCTCACCACCACCACGAGCGGGCCACGGGCCCAAAGACGGGCCGCCGATAGAACACGAACGCTGAAGGAGGCCCACGCCAAAAGAGGGCCCCAAGACCGGGACGCCTGGCACGAAGCTTGTGGAGGGCGGCGGGCGGGGGGTCTCTGGGGCGCGGGATCCCCGCGTAGCCTCAGACACGAAGCCGACTCTGGACGCGCAGATCTCTCAGCGCCCTGCCGTCGTTCGAGGCGCCGCCGAAATCGCGGCGCGCAATGACCAGCCTGTCGGCGCCCAACTTCCACCGCGCATCCTGCGCCAACTGTTCCAGCGGGCCGTGACCCGACAGCACGCAACGTGTCGCGCCCAAATTGGCGGGCAACTTCTTGCCCTGCAGCCCCGGGGCGACGATCTCGAAGCTCCGCGCTGCGTGCTCGATCGCCGCCCGGGGTCCTCCGCGCGCGCCAGTGGCGAGGTCGTCGACTACATTGATCGCTCTGCAGGGAGGCGCCCCCGCCGCGATTCGCCAATGGATGGGGCAGGGCCAGCAGCTCGGCGACGCCCGTGGCCGCGTTGCGCCCAGCGACGACGGCGCCTTTCGCGGCCCAGCCTGCGGTCCCCTCCTGTCCACCTGGCCCTCTTCGGCGCGCGGCATGGAGGGCGCGGGGTTTGCGGGGGGGTCGCAGTTAAGTTGAGCGCGATCTGCGGCCTGCCGCAACTCCTGATGACTCGCGTTCTCGTGAAACTTGCGAGTGTTGCAATAGACTGTCGCGGCCGTGAACTTGCCCCTCCCGGGGCGGCGCGACGGCGCGTTGCGGGGGCGAGCCGCTTTGTCGCAGCCGCGCTTCCACTGGGAATAGCTGGCGCCCGCGCTGCTTGACGCGCGGCCCCCGCGCTCTCCATGCGGAAGTTGTCGAGGCCGAGCCCCGTCGAGCCTCCGAAAGACTGGGCCACGTCCACTACCTGCTCGGTGGGGGGGCTGAGGGTCCACTCGTAGTTCAACTTGATGGGGCGGGCTTTCTCCGCCCGCTCGGAGGAAGTCCAGTTGACCCCTCGCCCCCCCGGCGCCGCGCCGATGGCAGCGGCTCGCCAGTTCATGCTCGGACGCCATGGCGCGGGCTCGAAGATCTTCGAGCAGTTCGGGGCGATAGCTGGCATCGGCAAGCTTGGCTGAGCCCTGCGCGGCCGACTCCCCGAGCGCCCGCTAGGCCATGCTGTGAGCCTAGGCATCAAGCATGCGCCTTGCCGCGACTTCTTCGGACAACGCCGCTCGGAACCAGCGCGCGAGGCCTCCGCCTCGCAAAGCGAGCCCCGGCCTTTTCTCCACCTGCATGCCATGCAGGGTCTACGATTCCATGACATGGGTGAGCAAGCGCATGCCGCCGATGGCTCGGAACAGCCGCTGACGATGCTCTGCTGCGCCGGCCTTGGATCCCGACGGCGCCGCCCCTGCGAGCCCGAGATT